TGTGGTATGTAGCATTTTACTATACTAATACTTAAAATATTTCTGTATTCTAAATATATTATATATCATTTAAGTGCTTTAGGTTTGTGTAATGTTTATATTTAATATATATCATTGTATTATACTTATTAAAATATTTCTTATAACTATACAGGAACTACAGAGAAAAAGGAAGCCAGCCTTTAAAATCTGAAAAGCTGTCTTGGGAAAACACCTTCTTGTTCTCCCCTTTTCAACATTCCAAAAGCTTCTGATGGAGATAAAAGGTGCGAAACACAGATCACTGTGCCTGCCTGGTGAGAATTAAGACAGGGTCATCCATTTGCTCTTAGCACAGTTCATATTTATCAGTATGTTAATTAATCAGCTGGTTTTCTTCGATCATTCTTTCTAACATGCAACAACAATTCCCGTAGGGATAGTAACATCTTTGTTTTCTGATTCCTGTGAAGGGAATTGATTACTTACTACTCGGAATAGAGGATGCCAGAATGGCAGTCAATATAGCAATTTGTTCAATTTAATACTGCAGCTATTTGGCTTCCTAAAGTACCCACTCCAGAAAGACTTTCTGTAGGAAGAGCAGCTCCTAGTAAATAATCTTGCATCAGAAGTAAGGATTGATTGGTGTAAAGGTTCCAAGGCACGCAGCTGTTCCTGGGCATTATATACTGACACCATCTCAGATTTCTTCTAGAAGCTCTCTTGTCTTCTTTTCCTCCTCATAGCTCTGTTGATTAAATCAAGTGACTTGAGCTTGACTTCAATCATCAACCAACAATTTCTGCTTAAAATGCATAAAGAAGTATGGAATGGGGAAAAGGAGAGAAAACAAACCTTGAAGAAGTCCTGCTTTCCTCTCTGGCTTGCCAGCATGAGGCAGACACCTGGCCTCAGGGGATACTCCTTTCCTAATCCACCAACATTTCTGTATTTGATCTTGCCTTTCTCCTCTGCTTCTCACACTGCTAGGCCAGGAAGCACTCCTCCCTCTTTTGCCTTTCCCCCCTCAGATGAAAACCACTCCCCAAAAGCTAAAATAGAGAAGCAAAATGGCAACTTGGGAAAGGAAAAAAAAATCACAGGAAAGCATCCTTATTTTTACAGATTATAAGCCATTTAAGGTAAAGCTTGTCTGTGCACAGGAGACTGCAGTAGTGTTACCACAGGAACAAGCTATTAAGATAAGGCGGTCCTTAATTCACTAGGTGTCTGTCTGTCTGCTTCATAAGGGAATTCATAAAGGTACCTAAAAAGAAATTCCTTTGTGAATTCACTGAACTTCTTAAAAATTATCAACACAAAAGTTGTATTAGAAAGCGGGATATGCTAGGGTACTTTTTCAGTATCCTTTAGTATTTCAATAATTGCTTGAAACACGTATTTAATGGAATATTTTATAATAAGCAGTTATTAAAGCAGGTCTTTAAAATGGTAACTGGGTGCTTTTAGTGAGACTTCCAATTATAATGGGCTTTTTTTTTTTAAATCTAGAGGAAAGATGAAAAATGCAACAATTGAGAAATTTGCCTTTTTTCAAGACTTGCTAACACACAATTAGCCATGGTACACTGCAAGGAATTCAAGGTTACTCTAGGTAATAACCAAACATAACCAAACCCAGGGTTTTTACTGAACCAAGAATCCAGAACTGTACTTAAGTAAAACCAATAATAACTCACACAAAGAACTAAAATACCATTATTACAAAAGCAGTTAATCCTGTTAGGGGTGTTCAGCAACTATATTTTTTTGATTCAATCAATTAAAAAAATTAAGTCTTGATAATTGAGGGAACTCTGGATTCCACTTCTCAGCCACGGATGCCCGAGTGGCACAGGGCACTGGGAGGAATGGGAGCAGGATAGAGCCAGCTAAAGCCTTCCACTGCCTGAGCATCAAAGGACCTCTTGTGTCCGGGGTGCAGAAGTGCAAAGGCTCCTTTCCTTCAAAGATCAACGCACCACCTGTACAAAAGGAATGGCAATCACTTGGTTCGGTTGCTGCACCCAAGTCCTGTGCAGCACCACGGAAGTATTACTGGAAAATCACCTCCCCATTAAGATTTGGAGGAACTGTGGAGTACTGCTTGTCTATATACCGTGAGTGATAAACAAGTTGGTTTTTTTTATTTACTCAAAAGGTTTAGAAAAGCAGTCTGAGCAATCCTCTTCCCATTCCTTGCTCTGCGCCCCATACATCCATTTTGGACGTCATAGAGAGCTCCTACTCCTGCTCAGGTCTGCAAGGGGAAGAGCAAGGCTTTTCTGAGGCACTACTGAGCTGTATTTGCAGAGCTAAATCAGCACAACAGACTTCAAGAACAGTCAAAATATACTAAAACTACAACTTTGAGTTTATACTCCTAAATAAAGAGTTCACATGCTTCCAAATTAGACATGCTCCCAATACTTTTTTCTACTGTACATGTGGGAGTCGCCAAGCCTCTGGAAAATTCAGGCCAACCACCTTCTCCCTCTCATTCCATTTTTGATCTTATTGACTATGGAGCATACAGTAGAAGTCATTAAGCTACATTTCACAGTTTATGGTTTTAATGGTTTTGCAACATTAGATGCACAACACATTTTCAAGCACCAAAAACTAGGCTTTGCTATCTAACATTTCATAAAGATAATAAAAGTTAATGAGCGCTCATGATCTATGATCTGACAAGACATCTGTTCTGTTCTTTCCAGGATAAAACACTCACTCGGCCTTGTTCTGGCACAGTGGGAGAGAACAAATATAAGCCAATTAATCATTCTAAACTATAAGCTATATTAAGTTATAGTTTCTCAACAGGCTTTTCATATCCCGTTGCTAATAGGGCACAGGTGTCCTAAAAACAGTCTTCCACTGCAATAATTAAATCCTGCTAACTTCACGTGGTCAACTGCAGCAGACAGCACTGTTTAGTGTCTCAGCAGAAAAAAAACCTGTTCAAAACAAGCACTAACAAGGCTGCTGTTACACTAACAGACTGGTGCCAAGAGCTCTATTCGCATTTTCTACTTAGTTTCATCATGTTTTTTTATTACAAGAGTATCTAAAAGAAATTCTGACCTATTGTAATACTTGTAATAAATACCCCCACAAGAAATAGTACAAAATACTTCACATGGAAGATGACTAACATTGGCGTGGAGGAGTAAAGAGCAATCTGTTTTACCATTTGCGAGGCTGTAACAGGGAGATCTGTCACAGGAAACTGTTGAAAACATTAAAACTCCACTCCGTTACATTTTGAAGCCAGTTGCTGAGCATTTCAGGAATATTGTTTTGTGACCAAATTCAGTTTGTTGATACTTACATCACCTACAGTATAATACAGAAGTACAGAGCAAAAAAAAATAGATCTTTTTTGTTTTTCTTTCTTTCTTCCATTCAGCCTTACAGTACAACGTTTTGGACACTATGCCAGAGTACACAATGTTTCAGCTTCCTGCAAAGTGCTGTACATTACCATGAAATAGAATATATGACATGAAAGAAGAAAAAATAAATCACAGATTGTGTAGTAGTTAGTGAAGAACAGTATTTACAGTAAAACCCTTAGATAAAGGTTAAAAATCCCAGTTTACCTACAGAAAACAAATACATAATTCCTGACAAATACCTTGAATTGCTCAAAACACTGTCCTGCTATCAATCTACCTTGCAGAGGCACACAAAGAAATAAGCTATTTAGCCAGGGAACCAAGCACTGCCCAGCTGTGCAGAAAAGCAAAGTATTTTGCTATCTGAAGGATCCAAGATAACCAAGATTTAACACTAAACCCCCCCACAGCCTCAACATCCAACCTATTTAAATAGTCTAAGCTTCCTAGAGCATGCCAGAGGAACACCATCTCTCCACTGGCAGAAGCAAGGGTCTAACCAGCTTTCACCAGATTGCCCTGCTGAAAGAGTCTGCTCTTTCTGCTAACCACTACTTGTATTCTCCTTAAGTAGCAATCATAAACACTGGATAAGAATTTAAATCAACATCTGTGCATACATGTACACAAACAGAATCAGAAAGCTACTAACTATATAGAAAACTTAGCCTAAAGGAAAATTACTGTGGCACCACTGAATCAGATGGTCCAGATTTCTCTCTCACACCTCCAGAGAGGTTATGTATGCTTTAGATGAGAATAAACAAAATCTGAAAAACAAACCACCAAGTAAGCAGCCTTGACAGATCAGCTGCTGAACTCAGGCTACACATCTATTAGCACTTAGTGCAGGAAAACATGAGCGGATCAGTAGCAAGCAGCTTGTGCTGAGGACCTGAACCTTAAAATTTATGTGTTTAGGGAGTTTGCTAAGCCTGAACTAATTTACTGACTCTTCAGATCACCTCTTCAGATCACTTAGGTATTGCAGACATAATTAGATATTCATCCATTAGCATTGGGTACATTTTTGCATCACGGTTTTCTGTTTAGCTTCACCTAGAGAAAATCCAGTTTATATTCTCTGAAGCAAAAGCATGACAAGCAGGGATGACCAGAATAATTAAAAACAATACAAAACAAACAAAAAAAACCAGACTCCCACAACAAAAAAACCCACCACTCCTAGGCTGAAACAAAAAATAACGCAGGCCTACCCTAGGGTCCCTAAAAAAGCAGCTATGCAAATGCATCATCTTCTCAACATGTGCAGCTACTTATCAAAAACACATGGTGAAGAGCCATTGCTGTGTATTTTTACATATTACTTAACATAATTTTATAGACATTTTGACATGAGATTCTAATTATTATAGTCTCGTCAGTTAACATCAGCAAGCTCAGGTTCCTTCCTTGTGCATTTGCTTATGTCCATCCATACACTTTGGTTATACGTTCTCAAATGCTGCTTCTGTGACAATTTTAATTACAGAAAGATAAATAAAATCCTGGTGAAAAAAAGAATAAACCACCCACAGAGACATACAAAACTTGTCACATTCAGATTCTGGTAAAAAATACTAAAATTTAATAATACCTCTTGAACATACAATTATGTAAAGGAAAGAGTAAAGGCATTCAAACAATGGATATAGACTTTAAATAATATTTACAAATACTAAACTGCAAGTTGACTATAAAGTCACAAATACTTTAAATATTTAGTAGAATATAGTGTAAATTCTAATATAAATTAGATATTAACTTCATGTGTTATTTCTTCCAGTGATAACAGTCTAATCTTTACATACTATATACATGAAAATACTAAAAAGTTATAAAATTTTATTTCTGTTACTATGCAAAGAAATGGAAAATACATCGGCTCTGTCTTACTGTACAATATCCCAATTGAACTTTCTATAGTATTCTCTGCAAAAATAAACGGCACTTTCACATGCAACAAGGCATAAAGTACAAGTCTGTCCATTAGCAGTATGCCCTCTGAGTGCAAAGTAAACTAAAACGCAAATGTCATTCAACCATGTAGTTGAAAATCAAAAATAAAACTGCGGAAAGAGGTTCTGACAGACTTTCTGATTCAGACTGAAGTAACAACGAAGAGCATGTAAACTGATTTCCACACAGATTTGTCATTTTTAAAAATGAAAAGACAGCATACTGAGAAGTTTGCCACGACGGTATCAAAGTTACTTTGACAACGTCTGATGGAGGGAAAGCTGAAGATTCTGTATGAGTTCTGAAGCCCAACCCTGCCACTGGACTGCAGCAGCTAAGCTGCTTTCCTATTGACAGTTTCCAAAATTACTTCTGCCACTCTGAATTGCACATCAGCAGTCAGATGAGGAGTTTTCTGGACTTCATTAGGCCATCGTGTAACCATAGCTTCCACAGTGCAACGCCACAAGGAGCCTGTCCTTAAGGATTTCTTTACTTGGGTATTCTGGTAACTTGAGCATGTTGATACTGAAAAGACAAGATAAAAAAAAGTCACATCACAGTTCACAATAAATCCATGATATTTGATCGAAAGTAAAGATTTCTGATTGAAAACCCTGAAGATGTCATTTATGAAAGAAAACAAACCTGTGGTACAGTATTTGAATATATTGCAGTAAATTAAGGGTCTTTTTGACTTCAGTAAATTGTAATACAATAATTTAACTTGAATATTCCCTTATTAACCCCACTACCTTTAGTTAAGTAAAGTGAAATAGCAAACAATGAGCAGACAAATTGCAACAGCATCTGGGTTAAAACCCACCACTTTCATGTTGGATAGTAAATATTCCACAAGCTCTCTACTGTTTTTGTCTTTTAATGAAAATATTCAGAAGAACTGTACATTTGACTGCAACCGACGTTAAAAATATTTTGGTGAGATTAGTTAACATACCACGTGCTTGATGTTGGTAAAAGATTTGCAGTATATGGCACAGCAGCAATTGTAAAATTTTGCAATCCACTGCCACCCATTATATGGGCAAAGCCACCATGAGGCACCCTGGAACTGAAAAAATTCACAGAAATTAGGCCATTACCAGAAGGTTATAAGCCAAAAAATATAATCTTCACATTGCAAATATCTATTGCTGCTAGTAATTAGCCAGTTACTAATCAAGGTTTCTCCTTTCTTGCCCATATCAAAATTCTCATTGTCTAAATGGTTTTAATTACAATATTGAGTAATGCATTTGTCCATTTCCATTAGGCATCAGATTGTTTGAATGATATTTAAGAGAATTCTGTTTGCAAATAGGACTTATTTCTACAACCAATTTTTATAACAGAACATCAGGCCAGTTTAGGCAAACAGCTATGGTTATTTATGTTTACAGTTTAAGAAATATTTTATCATAAAATATTTATTCTCCAATTACTGTCCATGGGACAACTGACTAAAGTGTCCTTGACATGCCTTTTCATTTACTACTTCAGAGCAAGTATTTCAAGTAACTAATAAAACCATTACATCAATCACACTATCGCCCAGCGACTACCTAAAAAACCAGAACACACTAAAAAAAGTCACTAACATCTTCAGGAATGCGTTCTCACTTAAACACATTGCTCATAATTCTTTTCCTTTTACCAATATACTATTCAAAGACTACCCAAGGTGTAAATAGACAATAGCTCTGAAGTCTTCAGAGTCCCTCCCTATAATTTTAAACTGAGACAAAATCAGATTTTTTTTTTTAACATCAACTTAGGCTGGTATGCATTACAAGGTAACATGTTAGCTCAGCTCTCACACCAAATAAAATAAAAATCAAAACCATACACTATAATGAAAGGATAAGGACTAAAGAAGTTGAATGTGAGGCAGCTATGCATTCTCACACCAAAGGTGGCCAGCAGCCTCTTGGGTGGCATCAGGAAGAACATCACCAGCAGGTCAAGGGAGGAGACCCTTTCCCTGTGCTCAGAGAAACATTTGGAGTCCAGCTCAAAGCTCCCCACCTGAGGGGGACAGCGACATCCTGCACCAAGTCGAGCAAAGGGCCACAAAGATGGTAAGGATTTGGAGCACCCAACACAGGAGAAGAGTGAGCTGGGACTGTTCAGCCTGGAGAAGAGAAGGCTCAGGTGAATCTGATCAATACATGAAGGGAGGAAAAAACAAGATGGAGCACAAGTCTCAAGATGGAGTACCCAGTGGTGCCCAGTGACAGGACAGGAGGCAATGGGCACAAATTTAAATCCAGGAAATTTCCATTTAAATGGAAAAAAAAAAACCACAAGAAACTTTTTTACCATCATATGGTAAAACACTGGAACAAGTTGCCTAGAGAAGCTGAGGAGTCGGTACGCCTCGAGACATTCAAAACTGTCTGGACAAAACCTCAAGCATCCAGCTGCAGCTGACCCTGCTCTGACCATGAGGTTGGAATACATAATCTCCAGAGGTCTCTTCCAACCTCGGCTATTCTGCAGTTCTGTAGCTAGCAAAGAAAGAATCTGATAAAACTAAATAAACCTTCCATAAAATATATAGCAGCTGTTAGAATTTTGGATTACAGGTACTTACATTAAAAACAGTACTCCCATATTCACAAAATCAAAGTGACTGTAAAAGCCAGAAGCAAGAATAGAAAAGGAAGTAATGCTTTTACCCACAGTAAAACTACTTTGCAAAAATGCAGAAGAGTGAGGGTTGCTACTGCCAAGCATTAAGGAGCTAGAGCAGAGCTCACAGTAAGTTTTTAAACACACCTTTAAGGGCCAGCTATAGTATCCAACACATCAATCTGTATCACCTAGCTTAATGACAGCAATGTTGGACATATAGTTCTAGCACTGGTATAGAAGGCAACCACTATGGAGGGAATAATCATTATTTGCAGCATACTATTTCTGGCATACAAATGGAACTGCCACTCACAGCCCCAGCTCAGAACAGCTGTAAAGATTTTACAGCAGTACTCTTTCATACCATGGTTTTGGCTTGAATTTCCAATACAGTGCTGCTCCCCTGCAGTGACTTTTTTCCAATCCCCTCAGTGAACCAAGAGAGTTCCACATTCAAATCAGCAATAAAACACAGACCTAACTGCTGAACGTTTCCCATTCACTCCATTATTAGCTACAAGTTTTCACAATCTAACTTACTAAAATGTTTTTCGTACAACAGGTCAAAATGGTATAGTATGATCAGGGCTTTGAACATTTAAAAGTAACAGATGGCTGCCAACTTATACCTCCAAGAATGAGTTTTCTCTCCAAGCTGCTAATACAGTAAAGAAAGACTTCCCAGATATGTGCAAATAAGATCACAATATCTTACTTCTACTGCATGTGCCTTCAGCAAAAGTAAAATACAATTTCATAGTTTTGGAAACTTCAACACTATTAAAATGTTTAATTTTACATCTGAATCCTTACTTTTCTACCTATTTTTCCACTTACAGATTTTGCATGAATTTACTTGTAATCCAAACAGTGTGAAAGAAATACTTTAAGCCAGTTTCCTTATGTTACTTTTAAAAGTAGCCATATATATCGATCACATTTATCAAATATGCTGAATTTCTCTTAAAACGGCACATAGCTTACTACTAATCAGAAACTACCGTCCCCTAAGAATCAATCAGCAATCCTGATACCTGCAGAATACCAATAAAGAAGAATTTATCATGAGCTGTCAACACTTCCCTCCCACTGTTCACTAAAAACCTGTCCAAAAGGTAGGGGGAAAAAAAAAGTAAAAGCATGTGGAATTGGCAATACCATCTCACGCAGCTGTCAGCAAAGTAGGTGGTGTATACATAAACTTTCAGGTCCCAAACATGAGGCACAAGAATATTTGGGCTTTTTCTTGATTGTGCTAAGACCTCCAAACACACAGAATCTGCTATTCAGACATTGCTCACGACAATTACTTTACTGTTAAAACATGTCTCAAAATTGGTATTAATGATGAATGCAATCATATCTCCACTGAAACTACCGAAGACTTCATTAGATTGAAGAGAAAAAGGTGTAAGAATGGGGTAAGACGACAATAGGCAAAGTTTAAGAAATACTTAGAGATGTCAGAGAAACACTGAAGACAATCACAAATATAATTGTTTTATTTAATTCACTAATTTAATTCTGTAGTCTTTGACGGGAAAGAAAGAACAGTACCACTTTACACACACACACACACACACACACACACACAACCAGAGCTACCTGGGGATTTATGTGGAAAAATGCCAGCTGCATACCACTATTAGAAGTAACTTTCAAAAGTTAAATTTTTATTGCAAAATATACCTATTACATTTCAATCACTGAAGAAAAAACTGAGTGAGCTCCTACTAGCTGATACAGAAAAAAAAAAAAGCAATTTATTTTTAAATTCCAGCCTGGATATCTTAAAAGACATACCAAAAATTTATTTCCTACTAACAAGAAATGGGTAAGAACAAGTCAGTATGTGATTTGTGACCTAAATGAATGGTGCTCAAGCACGTATTAATCAGACAGCGTAATTGTTCACTTGATAGAAAGCTTCCCTTAGAATCCAGTGGATTATCCCAAATGCCATGAAAATAGCAAATGCCACTTCAGTATTATCTGCAACGTTTTAAGAAGCATTTGAAACATGACCTTACATCTTAAAGATCTTATTTGCCATCTAGATTTAGAAATGGACTAGTCCACTAAAAATGAAAGACCAGCAGCTGGCATGCAGTGGATGTGCTGGTAGAACTGCAGGAGCCATTTCTGCAGAGGACAAAAAGAAAAGAGCGATGTGCACAGCACTAGCTTCTTAAATTGTCTGTGATCCCTAAAACCAATGAAATTCATAATAAGGCAAGTAAAACTAATAGAATTTGAAGACCGTGCCATTTGATGATACAGCCATGACTGTGAAATTCCTTGGTATAAAAGACAAGGTTTGACGATCTTAATTTATACGTTATCATTACTTAACCACTAAACTTATAAACAAAGGGTCTACTTCTAATCCTAGAATATGAAAGGAACACCAGATGAAGAAGATGGTGTGAACTCCATACCTGCCACCAGAGAAAGACATGGATTACACAGCTCAGGTGCCACATGTATGTCTATGGATCCACTTCGCTAACCATCTGTACACAAAAATTTGGCAACTCATCCAGTTCACAGGGGCGTTTACTGCTCAAAACTCTCCCCCACTGCCCTCAAACCATTAAGTAAATAAAAGTGGTTTTCCCTAAAGAACAACTAGAATTTAGGACAGAAATCCTATATGAAGCAAACAGTCTTGCATAAGGTTATATCTTAACATGCTGCACTTATGTTAAATTCAACTCAGCTTTAGGAGAAGGATGTTATGTTTACACTGACTGAAGTGATACCTACTTATCTCATATATTAAAGCCTATATTGACTACTGGGGAAGCCAAGAGCCACATAAGTATGCAGCAGGAAGAAGAATATAAAGCATAGTTAAATTCACGACTGGCTTGTTAAAAACTGCTTGGGATAGAAACTTAACTATACAAAGGCCTCTTGCAAAGTAGTCAAGTATAGTAAATAATCAACCATTTTACTGGCAGAACAGGCAACAAAAATATTAACACATGCTTTGTTACTTTGGTGACGGTCATCTCAAGTCTCTTGACTTATTTCAGAGTATCCAGAAAATGTATTTGTTGTTACAGAAAATTTTCTCACCTGCCAGTAACAAACTGTAATAGTAATACTCTCTCTTCCTGAGTTAATTCTTCCACAACGTCCCAGAACCACTAAACGAAAAATAAGTTAGTTTATATTTTCCATTAAGTACTTGCAGTACTTGAAAAGATAATGGTAAAACAATACATGAAATATTTAAATGATGGAAATTGTCATATGAAATCCACATATAACTAAGTCACTTAATATAAGAATGTAGTATTAAAAAAACCTTCCATAAACACACACACGCAGAAAATGACAACAACAAAAGTACCTTTTTTGCATTAAAATGCAGTAGTCTATATTATTTTAAAAAAATAATTTTACCTGAATAACTTGGTCTCCTCTCTCATAGCCACTGGTGTATTCTGTATTTTTTAACCAGTCATTCACATCAATTTCTGGCATACCAGACAACAAAAGCTCCTTCAGAAAAAGCACACAGATTGTGATGAGTGCTCCTGACTAACCATTAATTTTAAGTGCTTATGCCATTTTAAAAAGTAATGCCTTAAGAGGTATAGAAATTACAGGGCTTTTTCTGCTTAGTTGCAACCTTATGGAACCAAGGACTAAATCTCAACACAAGATTCTTGAATTCTGGTAACTTCACATGATCTATTTAATTTAAGCACACAATATCACCAGGTAGAAATTACTGCCAAAGAAAAAAAAGCTCTCGGTTTTGGCACAGCTTGAGACAAAATTTCAGATGTCTTGGTTACAAAAGATCAAGTCACTGCAAAAGCTTATTGGAATTTGATTCTATGACTCAGAAACAGTAAAGACAGTAGACAGCATCTCCCTACTTTTAAATAACTTTTATCCTCCTGAAACAAAATATGAAAAGGTTTAAAGGCCACAACATCCCAAACCCATTTCGAAATTACAGCTTGGGGCATTTATCACTGGCACATGAAGTTATCACATTCCAGGAAGACAGACATTGTAAGTAACTAGGATAAGCAGAAATATATATTGAGATCCTCACTGATAAATGCACAGGAAGCAAAACTGAAGTGAAAGACAGAAAATGTTTGTTTTGTGGGTACTGAGCTTTACTTCTACATCACTATACTACTGATGAAGTATGCTGAAAAAAAAAGTATTTTAAGACGAGAACAGGCATTTCTGCTTACCAGTTCATATTCATCAAAAAGCTGGATCAAAGACGGTGGAATGAACATATGGAAGCCTTGTAAAAAGGCATTTATCTGAGGCTGAATGGCTCTCGTCATTCTAAGCTCTGTGACAAGCTGGACATACTCAGCCTGCAACGCAGAAAACAACATTAAGTGATACAATAGCAAAAATACATCATGCTCATGCAAACTCACATGTGCACAAAAACGCAATCCTCAATACATTACAAACCTCATTTACTGTAAAATGTTAGAGTCCCTACGCACTTTTTACACACAAGAGCAACCCAAAATTATTCAGAAAGCCCCTTAGGGTTCAGAGCCCCTTCTGCTCTTTTGATTTCCTTCCTTCCAAAGACAATTCCCAAACAGAAGTGTTTAAATCATAACACAAACCAGTCAAAAAACAAGGACTTGGACTAAGGTAAAGGCAGTCATACCTGCATCTAATACAACCACTACCGTGACCATCTAAGGACATAAACAGGGTGATGTTTGTAAAGAAAAATATTCTATTAAGCAAATTGACATAACTCAGGAAAAAAGGTGAACTTCTGAAGGAATATTTGTGAGCCAAAAAGCTTTCTTGCTTTTCCCCTCCTGTCTAACAGAATATATCACTGACCCCTACAAGTTTTGTTGTCTTAATAACAATTTCATTTTTTCAAGAAAGTCCTGAAAATCTCATTTTAAAACAAACAAACAAACAAAAACCCCCACCAAAAAAACCACAAAACCAACACAGAAAAGCATTTCTAACAATCATGTGAACAGACAATATCATAGTTTGCACGCTTTAGAGATCTGGGGGTTCTGTTCCCTTTAAAAGACACCAGTTAGAAAAGGAATGCACCAGAATTTTGCTTTTGTTGAAAATACAAAAGCCTAGGAGGCAGTTAATGGAGGAAGGTTTTCAGAAAGAGACAGACAGAAGTGCCTCCATTAAAGCTGTATAAACTTGTCTCATCTACCCTGACGCAACTGTGCAAGGCTAATAAGGATTCTTTACTCAAGAAAAGCAATTTCTACTTGAGAACAGAATTTATTCCTAGATTATTTAAGGTACTTGGTTCCAAAGTAACATTTTTGTTTCCTAATCATGATTTTTAAATAATGAAATTATGAAACATCTCCCAACTAAACCATCTCAACTAACACCTTCCCTCAAGACAATAATCTTAAAAAATGAAGGTAGTATTTTTGTATTTTAAAAAACATTAACCTAAACTTTAAGTTCTGAATCTGCACAAAAGCAATCAAGCATTCTTTCTTTCCTCTTTCTGAAAACCAGAATGAAGTATGAAACATTCCAAAACAGAAGAATAATTTCCAAAGGCAGTTCCTTACATTCACAGAAGTATAGGCAGGTTGCCATTTGCTTTGCAGTTGGAAGATATTTTTTAAATGTATTACCACCATTTTATTAAAGTGAGAGGACAATCTGTGAAGCACTCTGAAGATGAGGAACATTACCTAATCATATCTTCAACTGCAGAGCTATTCCCACAAATTTAGTTTTGATCTAGTAATCTTCCTAGGTTGCTATGGATGCCTCCCTTCTCTAAGGAATTAAATGGGCAGCCAAAGGAGATTAAGTGCACTAGAAAAAGTCAGTCTCTGCATACATCTTATGAGCTCTAGGAAGAAATCAGAAACTTCACCAATATCAGAATTAGAAGTAGTGCTAACATGGGTCTTCAATGATCAGGCATATTTGGTTTATATCTCTTAAGTTGCTGTTACATAAATTAAGCTATTCAGAAACCAGGGTTCTAGAAAGAAAGAAAAATAATAATCACAAAAAATTACCAAAAAATTTTACAAAAAAATATTTACATTAAAACACTTCCACTATGAGAGAAAATAGTTGCTGTGCTTTAGGTGCAACAAGAAATGTTTTAAAACAGCCTGTAACAGCCGAGCATCCTGATTATCAGCACTGGTGGATGCTGAAAAACCTGTACCACACAATTTACATAATATATGCCAGTAAAAAAAAAAAAAAAGGTCAATTCAGTTTTCCCTCTGTTCATTTAATCTACATTTTTTCTTCCTCTCAGAAGCCCTAGAAACACATTATAAAACAGAAATATCAACATAATTTTGGATCTACATATGCATTCCTACATAGTGCATTAAAGGTGCAATTCAGCCTTCTTTTAAGAAGGGAGCTTTGATGGAACACATGAGACGGACACCACAAATATGATGACAAAGTCTGGTTTGGGCGAGGGGTTGTTTTGTATTTTCCTCTGAGGTAAGCCAAGCAGAGATCATGCTTCCCGGATTTCACAACCCCATATACTGTGAGAAAAGAATCAATGTTCATTATGATGTTCAGATTCAGAGAGCAGCTCCATTCCAAAGCTGTTCGAAAAATATATGTAATTTTTTACTGCCAAACCGCACAGCCAGCTCACAGACAGACAAGTCCTGGGAGGACAGAGAAAGAGAGAGTGTGGAGATCTGCACCATTTTTTTAAATAGCATATCATCAAACTTCGTCTACCTCTAATTTTATTTTTAACTTAAAAAGTAAGTAGAAAGCTGCAAATATATACTCAGGAAAGAACAAAGATAAATGTATACTGTGGACACTGGACAAAGCCTGACTTTTCCCTTTGAAGTCTCTCAATTACCATGACAAAAGGCAGCTGAACCACTACTATAACCATGTTACAGTAGTTGGAGCTACATGAACACTTCAATTGCACCACTGGAACATCTGCATCATTTGGTCCCACCACCATTCACCTATTACACAGCTGATGTAAAAGAAGAAAATTCCCTCATTCAAAGAAAACAACTTTTTACAAACAACTATTACTACCTTTCCTCACTGGGGCATTTACTCTTTTTTAGTTCGGTCTTCAATAATGGGGATATGGGTTGTTGGTGTGATTTTGGTGGGCAAGGGGGTGTCTTTTTTTGGCATGGGAGTTTTTTTGTGGGTCTGTTGGTTTGGTTGTTTTTTTTAAGGAATATAGATTCACTCATAATCTCATTTTTTGAGAAATGCTGTCCTTTAAATGGGTAACTTCCTAGTGTGCATACACAGCAAATTCCTTTAGACGCTGAATTTTCTTCTCCCAGAGGTAAAGCAAATACAATGAGTTTTAAACAGTGATCTTTTATTCCTCAGTTAAAGGCAGAAAAAAAAAGAAAGATACCGCTTGCAGGAAAAAGAAAAAAAAGATGTGTTATAAAGTAGACATTTTCCTGCTTAACCTGTTAGAATTGCTAAGCTAAAGCATACTGCAAAACCATGCCACAGTAAAGAAATTGGGGAAAATGCCACAAAAACGCAGATCTACAATTTTCAACAACTTGGTTCGCCACTGTCAAAGTCAGTGAACAAGAGACAGAGCCACCTTACAGATGTTTGCTGACTTCACATTTTTGCAGTTTCCAATTCAAAAATCAATCAGTATTAGCCCTTTTGAAGCTAACACAACAGTCACCTGTTTCTTACCACCTTTCAAACAAAAGCTACACAAACTCTCATCCCCTTCTGCCACAGCTGAGGAAGGCTGATGAGCGGGAATGGATGCATCTATTCCACACACATCCAAGGACCCTTTTTAGTCTGCACCCCAAGTCAGAAGTTAACAGAGCAATGCAAGATACTAATGACCGAGGGTATCCTCATGTGTGCAAACTTCTAATTTCATGCTAACTGATAACAGTTTTTAAATAGCTGTTTTGAAACTACAGTTTATGTCAAGTACATCTGTTTTATATATTGAGAAGCTAATACTGCCCAGAGACAAGAATCAACATCCTTACTTTCTCTGATAGGTAATCAAAAAATTAATCATCCACTGCCTTCACAATTAGACTTGTTTTACCATGTGTATTACTTAATGAATGACTATATTGCAGGAAACAGTGCAGAATCAGGCTAATAATATGTATTCCTGTTATTGGAACGATACTCTGCCTTAATGAAAATGAGCATTAAGCATACAAAAATCCAGTGCCAATTGCTCCAACACAAACCAAAATTGTGTTAAAACAAATGCTGACACCAAGTGGCCATTTACCAACACAGCAGTCGTCTAGGTGGCTGGTAGCACTGAGTGAATACTGTGTACACAAAGCGATTTAGGCTGGCTCAACCAACACAAACGAAAACCAAAACACAAAGGAGTCATAAGGATCAAAAGAGTCAATGATACAAAAAAAATTGCAGGTCTCAAATTGCAAGACACTCCTGCAGTTTCTCAAAACTACCTAGTGGGTAACTGCAGAATTCAATTAGACTGATGTCCATCCTAATTTCTAGGTAATTTTCAAAATCTAGCTGCGTTTTTCCACATTAGTTTTTGAACCAATGGTGCAGAGAATGCAGAGACTTTCAAGCTGTTACTATTAAATTAAATTTAAAAGGTTGAATATTTCCATACACATTGAGTGACTTGCAAGTGGCTGAACAAGCTTCCTGCTGCCTTTTACTTCATCAATTATATGCTACTGCAGAGCAATCCAGTGACACAGACCGCACTAATAGGCAGCACAATTTGTAACATTACCTACAATTTTACTTCTAGCAATTACTGCTGTTTTACCTTCCTAGTATATATACCCATGACTTCAGGAATATTCATAATTTTCAAAATAAATTCTTCACTTAAAATTTGATCCTGTTTGCCTTCCAAAAGTTCTGTCAGAAAGAAGAACCTCAAATCTGAATGCTTATAGAGGTTCTAAATACTACTATTTCTATAACATGCTAAGCTAGAAAAGGAGGGAAGTATTGGCAACTATTTTTTATTTTGTGCATTTCCTTCAAAACTCATACACCATTTATGCTTCCAGTTATTCAGAAAGTCAGTCTAATTGCTTTTCTTATAGTATCAGCTTCTGAATAAACCTGTACACTCACCTTGTTTTCCTGTGTAACAAGTATACTTGCACCCCCTGGCTTCAGTGGCACTTCTTCCATTGCTCCAAACACATCGGTCTCAACAGAGAAGGTCAGCTCTAAACCCAGATCACTGATATCATTATCTAAAATCCACTGCAAGTTCTTTGCATACTCTGGATCAATAGATGCTACATCCTGATAATTTACAGGTATACCTAGAAAAAAACAAGACAAAACCCCACAAATAAACAGGATAAAGCCAAAAGGGGTTCTAATTTCATAAATGGTAGAAGATTGCCCTCTAGAGATAAACCAGAATAATGCAGTAATAGGAAAAGGGAAAAAAGGGATTCACTATTACTAACTACAGCAGAACTGTACTTACCACATATTAAAAGTATTAAAGAATCAAATTTCCTCTCTATGTTTTTCTTCCCAGTAAAACAAATGGCATACCACTTGAGCAACCACAATTTGCACAATTTTAGCTCACTAACGGATTTCAGTAAGTGTCTAACCATATAGAACACACAATGTTAAATGAGTTTCCTAAAAAAGAAAGCCAAATATCATATTTCTCTATACAGTAATAGTTTCCCCCCAAAAAAATTATTTAGAACTAGAGAGGGAAAGGAGGTTAAAAAAAAAAAAAAAGAATCAACCTTTCTGTGCCTAATATGCAGTTGAAAAAATTTACAGGAATTTTATACGTTCGAACTGAACTTGCAGGTCATTTAGAAGCATTAAGTGGAGAGTTGCTATAATTTTGACTTTTATCCAAGTATAGAAGCTGCCTATTTACAGCCCCTTTGCAGACATGGCACTCAAATTTGAGCAAATGTGCCCAGAACAAGGTGACCCTGAGTTTGTGCAAGAGAACTACTCTCTTCACTACACAAGAAAGCAAACCCCAATTACTATAACTCTACCAAGACAGATAAATACCTGGGAAAAGGGACAGAGGGTGAGGGCAGTAGTAGGTTTAGAGAAAAGCAGGTTATCGGGACGTACTCTCTTTGCTTCACCATCTTCTGTGCATTGCAAAGTGTCACAAGGGTGCCCATTAGTAGAAGTGTTAGCACGCTATGGACTGCAGAAGCAATACCCCAGAGAGTAATACAAACTTCAAAGGTTAGCGGCTGGTCCAAAGATGTAAGTGCAAAAACTGTTACAGTATTTCCCTGGAAGAGCTGGCTAGTGCTGAAATGGTGTGTACAAAAGCTGTAAGGCACTGTTTTTCTAATAAAACAAAGTAACACACTAGTTCTCCACTTTAAGAGAGGGATAGATAATATTTACTAATGATTTTTCACAGTCACATCTCTCAAAAAAAAAAAATCTAACATCTGTCTAGCAGTTTCTAGAGGACATTTCACTTTTGCCACTAGTAAGCATATGTGCACTTCGCATATGAAATGTGGAAATTATATCTCTGAGGGATTTAAGCAAAACGTGGGAAAAGGAGACGAAAAGTAGAGTCCTTTAGAGAAGAAATTGAACTGGAGCGTTATGATGAGACTACATTTATAGTCAGCATGTTGTGAGACCAAAGCACTAAGCTCACTTATTTGCTTGACAGATATTTTACCAATCAATAGATTCAAGTCATAAAGAAACTCTGACAGATTTATCAGGACAAAATTTGAATCCAATGAAATACTATGTATCTTTCACTTGCTAGACCCTTAAGGTACCTGTAGTTTGGAAAGGAAGAGAAATCAATCATAATTGTGATAAATAGGTATTTCTGTGCAACACAGAACTTCAAAAAGATACTGCAAGTAAGCTCTGAGACAAGTTCAGTAAGTATTCAAGGATTCAAGGCCTCCTGCTCAGAACACACTGACCCAGAAATTAACTTTTGCTTTTATTTATGCCATTTTAAGGAGTATTTCCTGTAATACTCTGAAAGAGGGGACTTAAGCCTAAGAGTAGATAGCACAGTTCGGCATTTATCTGCTATGTGTCTTTGTGGGCTGGAGGTGAAAGTTTCCTCTTCCAAACAGGAAAGTAATTGTGGCTCCTTACAAAAAATACAAACTAACGGGACAACAGTATTAGTGAAGCTATCTCCCCCCCCCCACCCTGTTTAAGCAGAAGCCAGACAGATAGAAAGTTTGGGAAAAAAAAAACAAAGAAACCTAAGAGGCCTTACTAATTTCTGACTATATTTCTGCCTCAGTTTTACACCTGTAACAGAGTGCAGCCCTAATAAACATGAAGACCTATGGAATAACCTTTGATTGCACAGCACACTAAAAAATCATGCAAGCTACAAGTATAAAACATTTTAAAAAGCACATTAGTTGTGTGTTAGCTGGGTCATCACTTAAGTTGGTGATCTTTCCTTGCCTGTTAGATATTGCTGCAGAAAGATCTCAATTCATCACAGTGAAAAAAGGTGATGCACCCACCCGAGTCTCAAAAAAAGTAGCCACATTTATTCATACAGGTTTTGGTTTCTAGTTAAGGCACTTCCACGTCATGTCTGCTGACTAAAAAGAGTTCCTTTGAAAGAGGTTCACACTGTTCCTCAGATACAGGAGGTCCTACCACACAGCTGGTAGACTCAGTGCCATCAACAGGAAAGGCTACAGAAAACAAGGATCTCAGTGCAAGGTGAGAAACCAAAGGAGTGGGAACAGTTTCACGCTTTGAAAGATTTCATACTCCACTACTTAAGCCCTGACAAGCAGCTGAAGGGAATCTCTATGTCTGTAACCTGGGAAATTGTATTTGGCATGAACAACAGTTAGCATAACCCACAGCTGAACCTGAAACACAAATAAAACAAAAAAACCCCTCAGGAGCGTCTGCCACTGCGCAACTTTAGTTCCTTAAGCAAGAAGGTAGGGGATGCACAAAGCTGAGGGAAAAGTCCTTGGAAAGGTTAAATAAACCACTGTGATTGAGGCAGAAGAAGCAACTACTTTGGGAAGTGAAGGTGTAATTTTTCTAGTCCTCTCTGTCTGGTAAGTAACAAGAAGTGATAAAAACCTGTGAACCTTTTGAACTTAAAGTTGTTGAATGTGCACAAACCTCTAGAGAGTTCCAGGATGCCTGCTCAACAGAGTGACAAGACCTTACTGAAAGGGATTGGTGAGATCTTATTAACAGAGACTACTCACTGCTGCTTGGTTTGCAAAACAAAACAAAAACATCCAGACCACAAAACAAAACCAAAAAATGTAAATAGGTCATCACGTCAATTCAGAAATGAACAAATCCAGTATACAATCACGAGTCAAACTAGAAAAGAACCTGAATTCATCAGTAGTCATTTCCAGATGACCACAGATACCACCAGTTAATAGCAGTCCTTCTCTATTTAAAAGGAAAGTTACATTTTTGTAAAGACTTCTGACCAATCCTCTTGAATGCTATAGTAAGCATATGAATTAACTTTCCTCCAGAAGGAGACAGGATGCACCTGCATTACTTCTGAAATACAGTTTCAGAAAATAAGCAGTATTTGTTGGAGTGGGTAGACAGGGAGCTTCACAGCAGTACGGATTCACCTTGTTAAAATATTAAAAGTACTGCAGGCATAAGAAAGGATGCCTGATGGATTTTTGCGAGAGTTTATAAGCATTATCAGCTTTGTAAGTCTGTCCTAAGTTAATTAGGGAACAATTGTCTTCATTTCTCAAGAATGACTTTACATGGCAGGACAGATGAATTTCACAACTGCGATGCAAAGAATTGCATGCATCACAAAAATTGGCTGCACTAGTCTGCCTTTCAGGCATTTCTAGTCAGTAACACTAAAGACAACTAAATTATATGACTATGCTTTAGACAGATTAATGACCCCTTGGTTCTAATTTAAGATTCCTATTCAAATATAAATTGAAAGATTAGCTATTGTATTAAAAGTTGCTAACTATATAAAATTTCCATATCGTTTTACTAATATATTTCTGCACTTTGCAACTGTAACAGTTTCTAAGAGAGACTCAGGTTGGAGTAGTAACTACTGCCCTATTACGTTGAGACTCTGATGTACATAAAAGATTAGCAAGACATTCATTTCCAAGACTTTTTCACTTTTAATACACACACAAAAGTAAAAAAGGAAAAAAGTTTACTACTCAGACAACTATTATGACTAACAAACAGGATTTTAATGAAACCATACCAAGAATATGTTTGTAGAATGACCTCGTGAAGTAGATGTTCACCAACTGCCTGTGATTCAGAGCTAGCCCCAGGATCTGGCCTGCAAAACGGAAGTAGTTCAGATGGTCTGGATTTACAGAGGAGTTGCTGTTGGGCTGGAAAGTTGTTCCTACAAAATAAAAATATTATCACGATTCATTACTTAAGTAAGGTTCGTATTTATCAAATACACTAAGCATCTGAAAACACTGAAAGAGCCCATTTGGGTTCTGGAAGACTGTTCAGGTTTTTTTGTTTACATCACAAAGACATCAGAAAAATGTATTAGAATGTAATGATATCCTATTATTACAATGATACTGCTTAGCCACTCTCTAAGGCACCACTTTTAACTAATTATCACCAGCGTAAGGGTAATCACGATCTGCTATCATTGGTCCTCCATCTTACTGTATTGCTCTGTGCATTTTTCTTGTGGAGATCAACATCTGGTTTTACCACAAAAATTAACTGATTGAATTTGTGGATTTCTAAAAGGAAATAAAGGAATATCTCTACAGTTCCCTTGCAGATGCACAAGGAAAACTTTCTAGATCACTCTCAAAGCATTATGTCCTTCTACTACCAGGCAGAAATAGCACAGACGCAAAAAAACCAACAACTCGCTCTCCTCTTACAAAAGAGAAGGAAACTTCGAGGAAACTTCGAATTTAGTGAAATATTTCATCTGTAGTTACAGAAATATATAATGAATAGATAACTTTGTAAATATACATATATGTATATGAGCTCAATTCTGTCAGTGTTATTTTTAAAAAGTAACAATCTTATATTCTGAAACCAATTAAGTGACTTTTTTCTTGGATTATAAAAATGGTTTGACAAAAAGAAGACACCCTAAAATTAGTGGAAAAAAATTGCAGACATACCATCAGCTGACTGAGTAAATAAGGCGTAATCTGGGTTAACTATTTCACTGGATAAGATATCAAACCATTCACGCACCACACCCTGTCCCTGAGTGTCAAAAGAATAAAACATATTAGTACGTAGAACATTTACTGCACAAACACTAATGCTGGGTAACCACATACAAGTAAAAAAGTTATTTAAAATTAGGATTTAGTTCAAAACAATACTTGTGAAAGAGAATCAGTATTTCCGTACATAAATACCGTAAAGGAAAATCATGCCATTTTACCCACCATGCCTTCTTCTCCATGAAATCTCACAGCAATCCCCTGCTTTAGTTTTGCACAATTTGCTTTAGAAACAACTTCACAGCTACTCCTAAAAATAGAATCTAAATACAAAGCACCAATTAATTTTTTAATCTTAATTCATCGTATTTCAATGTATTTCAAAGATACATTGATTCCATTTATAACACAGTACCTCTGTGAACCAAAAGTATGTCATTTTCATTGACAGGTCTGTGCACCATGTCCGAATCTGGCTGCCCAGCATGCAGATGTTCATAGAACCATTCACAGCGATCTTTAAATGGCTGCAAAACAAGGAGCAAACCATATTTTATACATGTATTCAACTGAATAATTCCTCTCTCATGAGCATGACTGAAAAATGGCTATGCATACTTCTCAATTCATTTTTGAGATGTGCAGAGAGTGTCAGTACTACATCGATATGCTAATACCTTATTTTGGAAAGAGGAAAGGATGAGATATGCCCTTGAGTGGTTGCTGAAGTCTGGTATGCAGAAAGACTGGACCACCAGTTATCCAGAAACAGCTATCAGAGTTCACCACACACAAGAAAAATAGCACAAAACTTCTTCCAGGGCAGCAGGGGGAAGGAATCTAGGTAAGATGTAAGTCACTGGCTTCTGTAACGCTACTGATTATCAACCACAGCTGAACACAGAAGCACAAGCAATACAAACAAGCTGTATTTGTAGTAAAGTTCACTTGCAGTAAAAGCAGCCCAAAGGAACCAGAAATGTTGCAAAGCAATTCCTAGATCCTAGCTTGTTTGACTCAGTATTTAGATTAACATTTTGCAGTTCTTCTGAGACAGATATGACACAAGTGTGGCCTCTCTCACAGCAATTCACAGCATGTACTTTCAGCTGATCTAACAAACAGGGCATCAGCTCTCAAAGTCTATTCATTATTCATAGGGAATGAATTTCAAAAGCATACATTTCAATCAAAGAATCAGTAAATAATATACCTACATCATGTCCTATAAACAAAACTGGATTACCCAAAATAATGTAAATCTAAAAATAAAGGCACAGTACTGTTCACAACTAAAGAAATAAAGCTTTTGGAATAGACCCTCCACAATTATTTAGATGGGGCATGGGTCATGATTGCTTTGAGGAATTTTACCTTTGTCTTCAGCAAATTCTGTCTTTGACAAAAATATTTCAATGGAAGGAACATTTCTAATAGAGAGTAAAGCAAAAGTATACCAGTGTGGGCTAAAGAAGTTCAAAATAGCTCACTGTTGCCCAAAGATCACCTTCACTTTTAATAGACCAAATACACCGCTCTGTCTCTCAGCAACATGTAGATCAATCATAATCTTTTTAAGGTAAGTGATGAAAACGTGGCAGATGCTTAACACTACAGTGTAATGTAAAGCAGCAGACCTTCATACAGGGGTCAGCTCACTAATTTTTCCACTTAACTGCACTAAAGTAACTCTTCAATCTTGAATTAATGGTTGGACTTGATGATTTTAAAGGTCTTTTCCAACCGTAATGATTCTATGTTTCTATGAATTCACATCCTGTGTTAAACCAAGAAGTGAGTTTAGGTTATGCAAGACATCAGAATTTTACTAAACACAAAAAAGCCACACACCAAAAAAACATGTAGGAAACAGAGCAACAAGACAACATGATACTTCACTGAAGGAGCTGCCACTAATTAACTATGGCCAAATCAACTACTAGTGGTGTATTTATCCTCTGGTTTGTCTCAAAATTAAGTTAACTAAGAAAAAAGCACAGAATTTTAAAGATCAATCTATTAGATGTACACAAAGAGATTTGATAATAAAAAGTTAACTCTGTTTAACTGAAAGTTGGACTTGTAAGGCAGATTTAGCATCGGTCATCTCAAATAGACTTACACATGTATTTTAAAGAACTAGAGGTACAGAAATCTGGCTGCCATGTCTGTTTTATCTGATCTTTCAACATTCAAGATTCTGAAGCACCAGAGGTGTAACTAAGCATCTGCTGACATTTACCTGAGCTTTTATGATGTGCATAAATCTGGACATTAGTTCAGGACACTCAAGAAGAAAATGAAAGTGATCAAAAATTATTTTGGGATTTCTGAAAGAAAAATAGGTTAGAAGCCTGTTAGTCAGAGATCTAATAATAATGCTTCATGATACACAAAGTCTACATAAAGAGACAATGCAATCAGTCACACAGAAAAGTTCCAACAGACTCTTCTATTTCACAATGTTTTCCTAACTCGTTTCCAAATGACCTCATCCTTTGAAAACAGAGGTTTACAAGCAGCTCTCCAGACAGAAGCAAGGTTATAAACTGGGCAGTCCCAGAGAAATGTTGGAAACAGTCAAGTGTACAAATATGATTTAGACTTCTTTAAGAAGTCATTAAGAATTTGAGGAAGAATGAAAGTTTTCACCTGCCTCAAAAGGGAAGGCTTTATTTGGAACGAAGATGAGGAAAGAATCCATTAAGAAAACTACTCTGCTGCTCTGAAAATTATTTTTTTCACAAAGTCTCACAGAATCTTGCAAAAGGATTCCTTACATATACAGAAGAGTTCATTTAAGCCTGAGCTCTAAATCATTAATATGGACTCCCTTGAATTTGGCAAGACTATTAAAGTGCATGTGGTACAAATGTCAAAACAATAACATAAAAATACAACTCAGTAAGAAGAAAAATATAAGTTTGAATTATTTTGGGGAGAAAAAAAAATTAGAAATTCCGTATTTCTTGAAGCTTACCGGTTAACAAAACACTTAAGGACATCATCGTGTTTACAGACAAATTCTATAAAACGAGGCGACGTCAACCTGTTCAGAGAAAATCAAAAGATGTTTTTGCTTAATGAAGTTGAACAGAATTTGAACTTCATAAATTGTTGCTTTTTTAATGAAATACTATGCAAATAGAAACTGATGTTGTTTAACCAGTCAATCATGAAATGAAGTACACTTCATGCATTAAGATTTCATAATAAACTAATAGAAAAGACAAAAATACCAATAATCAAGAAGGACAAGCAACCTGCCCACTGACTGTTATTAATTATATGAACAAAAAAGCTCAAACTAATGCAGACGCACATTTTTCTACTGAATCCTTCCAGCTTTCAATACAACAATGGAAGCACACATGTGGAAGGACTGATATTATATGCACAATATACATGACACACACATTGTCTTATATTCACGTTCATTGTATAAAGCTCCCACCATGCACCTTGTAAGTTGTGGTAAGTGAGGAAAGGAACCAGGAAAAAATAATACTACAAGCTTAGCAAACTTAATGGGGAGGCAACGTAGTAGTACACAAAGTATGGGCAATAAGCAGGAGGAGCTAGTGGCCATTGTGAGACAAGGGGACTACGATTTAATTGCGCTCACTGAAACATGGTGGGATGATTCACATAACTGGAGTGCCACTATGGGTGGATATAGACTGTTCAGGAGGGATAGGAAAGGTAAGAGAGGCGGGGGGTAGCTCTGTATGTTAGAGAATGTTTTGAAACCCTCAAGCTCCAGCTTGAGGTGACGTTAGGACCGAGTGCTTGTGGGTGAAACTCAG